CGTGTGCAGATGGTACTCCAAATACGCGGAAAGACTTATGGAGCGGCTGATGGGCAACTCCCGCCGACCAGATACGACTTTAGTCTGAAGGTACTGCTAGGGGTTTAAACTTCAGTCTCAGATCGTCGTAATTTCGATCCCCGTTTGAATTGGACGGGGGAACGGTAAGAAAGCATTAATAGTAATGTTCGTAGTGCTTTATGTATATAGGCGATGATTACCACTTACTATCAGGTGGACCATCAGCTTTCCTGCCATTACGATTAAAAATAAGAATATCAAGAAATTCAAGCAATTGTTTCATTCGATATTATATAGTTATATTAATAAAGGCATTTATGTTCATCAGTATGATTTTATTCGCCTGAGTATTTTCCATGTTTATTACGCACTAGCTATCCGCCCCGGCCTAGCACCGCTGCACGGGTATACATGTATTATACATAAAAAAACCTTCCTCTTGAATCATTCTATCTATTGCTAAAACCGCATTAAAATCTGTAAAGTAAAGCGAACAGACAACGGAAGCAACTTAATTTTATCATCATCATCATCGCAGCCCGGAAGACGTCCATTGCTGGACATAGGCCTCCCCCAAAGATCTCCACGACGATCGGTCCTGCGCTGCTCGCATCCCATGCCTTCCAGCGCTCTTCATTTTATACTATGAAAATATTTATAAAAATATTTAAATATTTCTATAAAATGTTTAGTAGTTTTTTTTTAATAGACTGTGGTTCTAATACAAAACCGCAAAATTTAATCATTATTATTAGCAGACAGAATAGGCACATATTAAAGTTTTTGGAGCTCAAACTGTGATGTATTCAAAACCGCAAAAGGATAAATCGGTCTTCAACCGTCTGGCAATTTGGTTATTTCAATTTAATGGCTTTTTTACTCTTGTATGTTACCTACTACTTGTTTTTGATTTTTTGCATTGTGAAATAACTTTTTTTATTGCTCTATTTAGAAAAAAATGGCGTTGATCTAATCAATTCAAATAAAAATGGTTATCTTGATTCATTTATTCGTAAGTTGAAGTGGCAGTGGGCTGATCATATCTGTCGTAAAATCGATGCTCGCTGGAGTAGACGTGTTCTAGAGTGGAGACCGCAAATTGCAAACGTAGGACGTCCCGCAGCTAGGTGGATCGACTACATATGTAGGAGGTCATAAAACCGTGCCCAGTGGCGTGTCTTGGGAGACGCCTATGCCCAGCAGTGGGCTGATGATGATGATGATGATTCATGTAAGTCTGACAGAAACAATCATACTGATGAATACAAATACCGTGTGAGGAATCGAATCCGCGACCATCGGTAGTAAAGCGTTATACTAAACATCTAGACCACCGAAGCTGTCTAATAAAACCTGTTAAATATATAATAGAATTTTGGTCAAGTGCGTACCTTGCCGTATCTTATAACCTTACCTGTCATAACACAATTTCACTATGACTTATTATTGTGACGAACGTTTCAGGAGAAAATTATGGCGTGATACCTTATTACACATCGTCAGCGCGAGATCTTTCGACTCTGTATACCAGGAAATTGAAGAGGAATTTAGAATAAAACGGGATTCCCGCGCAATTCTGAAACCGCCACTCTAATTGGTGGAATTTGGGGGAAGTCTTGCCTTTTCAAAATATTCCAAACCTACCAAACTTACCATAATAGCGATCTATACACATAATCAAAATATCTGTACATTTATACATTTATGTAAAATTGAATTGTGTCTCTGTAATTTCATACTAAAAGCTTTTATTAATGTACCTATATGAAAATATAGTATAAACTATACTTACATTTAAAAAAATATTCTATATATTTTTTACTGTTATCTATTTGTTCTTACTAATATCTGAAATTGGTGGATTCCCGATTTTGAGGGACTTTCACTCGCATATACTAATGTTATAAGGAGTAACTTATAGCTTACTTTTATTTTAGAGGTTTTATTTATTTCCTCGCGGACGTCGTTAACAATGGTTAGTTATACCACAGATAACATAATATTACATAGTTATACTATGTATAATGATGTTACTTGTGGTTATTCAAATATATATATGTATATATATATATATTATATATACTACCTGTCCCGGCAAACGTTGTTTTGCCTTAAAATAAAAAACAATTTAGGGGTGGACTACCCCTAACATTTAGGGGATGAAAAATAGATGTTGGCCGATTCTCAGACCTACTCAATACGCTCACAAAATTTCATGAGAATCGGTCAAGCAGTTTCGGAGGAGTATGGGAACGAAAACTGTGACACGAGAATTTTATATATAAGATATATATAAAATACGAGGATTTGATTAGTACAACAGGATCCATAACAACAGTTTTTAGAAATTTTCTATCGGTCTGTTTATGCACGCATCATACAACAAATGTTGCATGGAATTGAATGCGGTACCTACTCATCGATGTATTGCTAGACGTGTATCTTAAATATTGGACTGGTATGTTCGGGTTACGAATACTGATTACACTATTTTCCTTTGCAATAGCATTGCTAGTTGTCACTTTATTCTCCCAAATGTGAATTTAAAAATAAATCTGTATTACTGTAAACATTTATATCATTTATTTGAAAAGAATATGAGCAGAGTTTCTTGTCAGTTCTTTTCATTTCGAAATAATTCCGAAATGACGGTAGATTTGACATATCATAAAAGTCTGTATTAGGCCTACCTACATGAATAAAGATATTTTGAATTTTAATTTATATGCTCCATATATTACCACAATAAGTTATTCCGCACGAAACAATGCGAGTTTCCATGTATATGAATGTTTACCATCAGGTGGGTAATTGGAATGGGGAAAAAGGTAACTCTTTTTCCCCATTCCAATTACCTAACAAAAAAAAAGATATTGCACATTATTACATCACATTCATGACGAAGTAAAAATGGAAAATAAACACGTCATAGGTAAGTCTCGCTATAATTCACACGCCAAAGCAATTTGAATGGGTTTTGCCCAAACTAATTTCCTTAATCTTTCTCTGTTAATTATTTAATTATAAATAATAACAACCCGATAACATTCCATTACTATACATGGGTATCTCCCTATCCCTAATGAAAATAGTTAACCTATGTAGATATATGTTATCTAGACCAGTATTTCTTAATCTGTGGCCCACATTACTCTCTTCTTTTTCTTTGGGGGGAAAGAGGATTGTTAGTAATGTGGACTGATGATCCCATTGCTAGCAATATACCATGTCAGGTAGACCTCCACGCGGTTCTCCTTGGAAACCATCGTGACACATTCCTCGAGAATTTGTCACGATGGGTTAACTGACCTAACATCATATTCATCTTATCATCCTCCACTAGTGCCTCGCTAGCGTAAATCGTTAGCGCAGGAGGGTATACCATTCTATTATCATTTAAAAAAAAAATATTATCTTGGGGCGAGGGGAATTGTTAGTAATGTGGACTGGTGGCCCCATTGCTAGCAATGTACCATGTCAGGTTGACCAGTTCCCTGGTTGACCAGACCCAGTTCCCCCCTGGAAACTAACTCATGCTCATCTTATCATTTTTCTTTGGTGCCTCGCCAGCGTAAGCCGTTAGCGCAGGGGGGTGAACCATGCCATTTTCACCCATAAAAAAAAACTGTTTTCTATAGTGTGCAAAAAATTCAAAAGATCGTCCTCTCCCCGGAAGAATGACGACGGGGTACGACCGCGTAGGGTACCTACCGTCGCGGTACTTAGTTTGTGGGATGAACGTGTTTTCTCACGAGACTATAGCATGGGGGTTTTCAAGAAGAGTATATTAAGGTTTCTTAAGAGTCGGCAACGCGCACTTATCACCCCTGGTGTTTCAGGCGACCACAGGCTAGGGTAACCGTTTACCATCAGATGGGCTGTATGCTTGTTTGCGACCACAGTAGTATAAAAAAAACGACCACGCGTTAGCATTCCGAGCACAAGTACATTCTATACCTACTTCAGAAGTCAAGGCCCTAATAAATTATTTGTACAAAATGTGTGGAATAAATAAATAAATATTATTATTATAAAAAAACATCACAGAGTTAATAATACTTTTGCAGTAATGTAAGAATTTCGCCCCGGGATTGAACGAAAAACCAGTTTTGGTGCTTGAATCAATATTACGTAGACGACTGAGCCGTTATTTGCTCATCGTAATCGTAATATTAACGAGTTAACATGCTATAAAAAAACTACAAATACGGGGATTTTCATTTCCAAATCTTCGGGGATTATAAGAAAAAGCGTGTTTATAATAATTAAAAATGAAACTAATCGCTGTTTGTTTTTGTAAAATATAAATAAGAGAAAATCTATTATCGAAGACATCAATATTGAGAACCCTAAACGTTATTGTTAGAATTAGTGATTAGCTGTTCAATGTTAGAATGTTTATGCGTGCTAATCCCATAAACGGCTAAATCGATTTAAGGGTGATTTTCACTTATGTATTGTGGTAAACTTCATTTAAAATATTGCTGTTCAGAATGCGACGTAGTACGAAGTCGCGCATTCTGATATTTTGTCTAAAAAAGCTATCCATAATAAAAGCTAAGCATATCCAGCCTTATAACTGGCAACCGTAAAGAAGACAACTAAGAAAGTCCCTGGATTTTCTTACCACTCTTGTCCATTAAGTTATGTCGAAAAATGCCGTAAAAATTGAATATGGCCCAATTATTCAGTACTTCTTTGAAATGTCGATAAATAATAATAATAATATATTTTTTTGTCAAACCATTACAGTTGTAATTACACTATATAATACAATGGGAAACACGTAGGTAACAATATTTAATAAATTATACCAAATGGTAAGCCAAATCTGGCAACCTTAATTCAAAGATTTAGAGGGCTGCATCCTGGGTTTTGGGTACTGCCCTAAATTTGGGATTTTTCTTTATAAATAAACTCGTCCTCCCGACAATTGTAAGCAACTAAAGCTGTTTGAGTTTTAACATGTAAATATTACGAGCCGCGATTGTAATAAATACGTCTAAAAACATACAACATTGCGCAGCAAACTCGAGAACCGGTCAGTCTTCCTCGTTCGCGCGACGTGACGTTCGTGTCAAGTGTTCTTTGCATGATGACTACATAACAAACTTTTAACAAATTTAAAAAAGAATCTCTAGTTCTGTTAATTTGAAATTTAAAATAAGAATATTATTATCGAACGTTACGTTTAATTAATTAAAAAAAATGTGTGCTTCAGTGTTAAAGTTGTTCTTTTCTGTTTTATTAATTGTGCTGTGTTCTGGACAAAGCAATGTGCCTGCAGTGCCCATTAGCTCGCCTCAATTGCCTCCTCTCGACCTTTACATGGAGCCACTGACGGAGCGGATTGGTAATTTTTCGGTGGAACTTTTGCATTATACTTCAAAATTGCAGAACCATACACAAAACTTCATAATGTCACCAATTACTGTATGGTCTGTACTGGCCGTCATCGCTGAAGGCGCGAGCAGTCTTACTCTAGCGCAAATTCATAAAGCCATTAGATTGTCGTTAAAAAATAGAGAAAATACAAGAAACCAGTTTAGAAACGTAGCCCAACACTTATTAGTGAATACAAAAACAGTAGAATTAGCTAAGATTAATGCAATTTTTGTAAATATTGACAATTTACCGTTGTCAGACTACAGACATATAGCGAAGACTTATTATGACACAGATGTAGTGCCTCTGAACTTTGCAGATGCTGAGAACTCAGCAAATTCCATAAACCGTGCCATATCTAATGTGACACATGGGAGAATAAAGAATTTAGTTGATGGTAGTATCTTTAGAAGTGCTCCAATGGTGCTTACGAGTGCATTATACTTCAGAGGCCAGTGGACGGTGCCATTCAATGCTACATATACAACGAGAATGCCATTTTACAATAGCCATGGTCAAAGGATTGGTGAAGTAAATATGATGTACAGTCGGCACACATACCCCTTTGCTAACATTCAAGAACTAAAAGCTAGAGTTATGGAAATACCCTATGGTATAGAGAATCGTTTGTCTATGCTTATTATGTTGCCACACCCTGGTGTATCCATAGAGGATATGTTCTACAATTTCTACACAGTAACATTGGACAGAGTATTCTACGAATTGAAAGTTGCTAAGGAAGAATATGGCGATGATGAGGTGGACTGCTTATTACCACGCTTCAAGATTGAATCCAATTTAGATTTGTCTGCTATATTGAAGAATAAATTTCATATTGTTGATTTGTTTGACGAGAACAGAGCAAGGTTACCGAATATGGCACGTACACCACTTTACGTGTCCAAGATAATTCATAAGGCTGAGATTGAGGTGACAGAAGAAGGGACTACAGCATCTGGAGTGACATTAGCAGAGTTCAGCAACCGTATTGGTACAATACGGTTTGAAGCAAACCACCCCTTCACATATGTAATTGTAGAGAAGACAACTAACACAGTCGTCTTTGGTGGTTTCTACCAGCAACCATCGTTATACTGAAATGCCATCAGAATTGTTCCATAGGCTGTGGTTACTTTTCAAATGATTGTGGATCAAATTCAACATACCACTAAATTGATAAGCAATATGTTAATATTGATGATATATTTTATCATCCTATAAACGGAAACAGCTGTTTTTTAAAAACCTTGCTGTGTTTTTGTAATAAATAATAGATAACTTTTTACATTATAGGCTGGACTGATATTAAAGTTTATACAAATAGGTATTTAAAATACATATTGTATAGTGTTGTAAATTGTATAATTTTCCACTTTGTAATGATGACTAAATAGGTAATTAAATGATATTCTAGTGCTATAGAAGTATGATGTTACTTGTTTGATGATTGCATCAATAAACTCAGATGCAAGTGTAATTATTAGTAAGCTCACAGGGCTGCATTTAGGGATGTTGTTAATAAATATTACAAGTGTGTTAGAATTATAATTACAATTACCATTATAATATATTTTCTTTATTAAATTTCTTTGACATACCAATACATAATAATGTAATATATATTACTGGAAAAATAATATTATCTTCAATTATATTGAACAATTATGACAGTACTGTATTAAATATTCATTATTTAATAAAGTAGGTACTGTTATTAATTATAAAAAAATTGTGTCTTTAGTAGATCACCATGAGATTTAGATAACAAATTTAATAAACTGATGACTTAGTAATATTGCCACTAAATACAAGTCTAGAGTCTAGTAGAGAGTCTAAGATTCTAAGATATGGGTGTTTACAGTATAAAATATATTGACTTTTAATTGTAGAGTCTATAATGCATATTAGTATTTTAACATCATTATTACTAATTTTTAATGCCTTTTAAGAGTTCTAAAAGATTATTATGACCTACTGATATCATATGTCTAAAATATTCATATAGATTCAATTAAAAATGTATTTGATGTTTTAATATCCTCCCATACTATATTCTACATTTATGATAGTGTTAGTGATATATATAAATATATATAAGTATACTTATACAGATATAAGTACTAAGTATTACTATTGTAAAAAATTCAGTTATGGCAGCTATATGGTCAATAACATAAATTATATGAAGTGCTACATAAAGTAAATCAATTGTAGTTATAATTACATAACAAACATCTTAATTATTAGAAGACATAAATGAATATGTAATAATTAAGATGTTTGTTGTGTATGTGTGTGTTTGTTCTTACTTGGCATATTTATGACTTGGCCATCCCAAAACTATGTGTATGTACTATACATACACATAATTCTGGACATATATTGACGGCAGTCTAACTCACCACTTCACTTCCGATAGCCGTGGGTTTGCATGGTATAATTATTTTGTATTCATCAGTATGATTGTTTATATCAGTCTGGGTGTTATCTAAGTACACTACACATGTATTTACTAAAAAAAATCTAAGTTTTTATATCAGTTGTCTAGTACCCATAACACAAGATCTACTTAGCTTGGGACTATATGGCATTTTGTGGATTGCCAAGGATAATTATTATTATAAACATTAATTATCCTTGGCATATTTTTTTTTCTGTGCAGTTTCTGTAATGTATATTCAGGCCAAGTTTGTTACTAACATATTGTTATAATTTATTTTTCTTGATTACTTAAGTATATTCATATTTTTTGTATTATTATATTATTTGTTTTGTCTGGTTAGGGAAATTTAATTATGAAAAATAAACTTTAAATATCTATACTTGAAATTAGCAATTTCAATATCATAAAAATATAAGAGTATAATTAAAATACAATTTACTGACAGTCATTAGACAGTACAATGCTAAAAGTGCAAAGGAATTTGACACCTAAAATATATATAAGAAGTTGCAAAATCTAGCTATATTTGTGGAACTATAACTGTGTATTGTCTGATGTGTGTGTGTGTGTGTGTGTGTGATGTGTGTGGAAACATGTTTCAGTGAATATGTGTGTGTGTGTGTGATGTGAGAAAGTTGGACTATATGTACAAACGTATTGTGCCTTATGTTGTTATTGTTATCTTCATTTTGTGCCTTTAGTGAATACCCATATTTGAAATTCTTGGTGGATAAATACAACATAGTATTTTATGTAAATAAAAACTGTAAATTTTCAAGCATACCTTGTGGTCCAAACCGGTCTGGTATCTATAAATAAACGTGGAGTGGTCCAAGTGACCTTTAAAACGATTATGTTGGATCTTTAAATAGAATTTTGACAAAAATTTCCAACTGTGAATAAAGGGGCCATTGCCACAATACCCGGGTTTTCAATCGCCCGATTGTTACTAACGGAGCGCTAAAAAGTCATTCTGTGCTTATCGCATGCTTATTAAGCATACATTGTATATAAGTGTACATAATGCTTTAAACCAACAATTTAAAATTTTGTAAATTAGACTATAAGGGTTTTACTTTAAGGTCGATTTTTCATAAATTGTAATTTAAGAGTTGATCCAATTTATAATGAAGCGTGCATTATGTAGACTACAATTAAAATTAAGCTCTCTATTTGACATTGTATAATAAGAGGGACCATTCTTCTTAAGTACTTAGTTAGGTAGTGATTTTAAAAGATTTTTATTAATAAACTTTAGTATAAGTTTTGTTAAATATCCTTTTATCTAGAAAATCATGACAATTTACATAGAAAATGTTAGTGTAAAATGTTTTATATATTTTTTTCATAATCTAACGAGATCTTACTAAAATTTATTTAAATACAAAGTTTATTGTAATAATACTAGAAATGAAAGATTATGAAAATGAAATGTAAAATTGCTAGCACATTTCGTAATACTTTAATTTAGTTTTGTACTTACATTCGAGTGAAGTTTTTTTAATGTAAAAAAAATTAATATACAAAAACCGCAAGTTGGTTTATAATTTTAAAATGTTTTCAATATTACATTTATTTATTTATATAATTTTTTATACATTAATATGTTGTAAATATTATCTTTTCCTTTAATATTGTCTGACTTACATAAAAATATAGTTGACATTATTAAAATTTATTACAATTGCATATATTTTGTATCATTTTAATTTATTCCAATATTAATTAACATTACTTAATTAAAATTAATTCAAAATTAGCTGTGCCTACAGCGGAAATTTATAGCTTTTCTTTGTCCTTACGTGAAAGAGCAATAAACATCCATCCATCCATATATATATATATATTTATAAAAGTAGGTATGGTAAATACGGCACTGACTGCTATGTCAACTTACGCGCCATATGTCGTTCAAGGAAAATATAAACTAGATTGGAAAAAAACTCGTTTTATCTTCTCTACTAACTGCGTCAACAGCTCAATTACATTATTGAGGATATTAATGACGTCTAGAATCTGAAATAGGTGTAGGTAAATTTATTTTAATAATATAAATAAACTCAGAACCGTTACTAGTTATAATTTTAAATTTAATTTAATCTAAATATATTTATTCTTGCATATATAGATCTATCTCTCAAATTCTGTACTTTATACTCACCTATTTATTTATTTTTGGACTATTGTCGTGTGCTTAGACATGTAGCACTGCATTCTACATAGATCTATTATGCTCGCCCTTAACCACGCAGAGTTTCGGTATAAATTACCAGAATATTTAAAATTACTCGACCACGAGGTCTTCTAGAAAACACTTTTATCTGATGGACCGTGCATCTCTGGAGCCTTAGCGTGGTAATAATAATAATAACTATTGCGCACAGATACATAATTTAATTTCAACCAATTATCACATTTTACATTGTACCCTGGTACCTAAAGTAAGTAGAAACCTGTAGAATAGATTCACCAGGTCCTTCCTCTTATAATTTACAATTATTTAAATTATAGACCGAAAACAACAAAAAAAAATCAAAATAGGTATAAACTTCATCAGTTACTTGAAGTGTGCGTGTGTGTGGATGTATCTGTGCCTGTGAGTGTGTGTGGGAGAGAAAGAGAGAGATATTAAGACTACATAGTATTCACAGTTTTCATACTCAAGAGATTTAAGGTAATCTGACCTTTCCGAGTGACTGAGTATACTGTTAAACATTTTTTTTTAATTTAGAAAATGTTTGATGTACTCTATGCTTCAGTGTTTGCGCCTGTGGTTTATGCTCGTTTCTGTAGAGTTGAAACGTAATTGTGAAGTTATGCTTTTATTGGGTGTAAAATTTGGATTATGTTATTGCATGTTAAACATTGTTATCTTCCCAATGTCCAACAATACTCAATTCGCTTCTATAATATACTGATTTATGAGTAACTAATCGTAATATACTCGTTTAGCAATATGACTTAATTATAAATTCATATAGATTTACAAATTATATTATGGAACGTATATGACGTATTATGTATATGTATGAGGATATAATAAAATGTTGACAAGGGCGAGTTTAAATGTTCTCGTTTATTTATTTACTTAATAACTATATCTTTACGTATTATAAAACAAAGTCGCTGTCGCTGTCTGTCCGTTCCTATGTATGCTTAAATTTTTAAAACTACGCAACGGATTTTTAAGCGGTATTTTCAATAGATAGAGCCCGGGTGTACATGTATTATACATATATATATTTATATATATGTATAATACATGTACACCCGGGGGAAGCCGGGGCTAGTTATAATAAAAAATATCTTGTTTTTATATTAGAACCAATTAATTTTCAGTCCTTTTCACAATATAGGTACCTACCTACTCGACTTCTTTATCTCTTTATTTTTTTACATACAATAAAACTGTAAAACTGTTAGTTTTTGTGTTAATACTCGTATTTCAAGTAAAAACTTCTGGAGCCAAAATGGGCTAACGGACCTCACTTCATGCTCATTTTACGAGTATCATCCGCCACTGGTGATCCGTCAGCGTAGACCCTTAGCATCGCATAATCATCCATTAAAAAAACCTTAAAACAATAAACAATGAAATAAAAAATCTACTAAATTGACTCAATTTGGCTCTCTAACTTCGTACATCATCGAATACCGATGTTTAAACGGTACACTTGTAAGAGGATAATTATATAGATAATTTAATATGCTAGTACCGAAGACTGTTTTTCGGACTACATTAATGCTGCCGCAGCTGGCCTTTATATTACGTTTACATTCAGCCGCTTCCTCTGCCACTCGCGCTGCCGGAAATATAGCCGCATCAGCGTCGACGGGAGTCGACGCGATTGAATGTCGTTTACACTCAGCCCTCATACTTATTTACCGGGCGACTCTTCCTTACCTTTCGCTTAAAACGCCGAGCGACAACTGAGTGAGACGGCTAAATGTAAACACACGCTACCGCTCGCGGGCAGCGCGTGTTAACATGCAGCGCCGAGCAGCGCGAGTGCAGCGCCAATGGCATGGGAAGTATAGTATACACTCTCGCGCTGCTCACTTCCGTGTTCACTTCCCTGCCAACTCGGGCTGAGTGTAAATTGGGTTTTACAGTTTCACCAAAGCTAGAGGACGAGTGCAGAAACCAAATCAGCAGAAGCGCTTATGGAGCGGCTGAAGGCCAACTCCCGCCTGACGGATACGCCTTTAGTCTGAGAGCACCGCTAAGGGATCAAACCTCAGCTCAGGGTGTCGTAATTTCAATCCCCGTTTGAAATCGATCAGGTCAATCACATGGGTGTCCAGAAGACAAAAAACCTGTAGTTTTACTAGTTCTCTAGTATTGACATCCCTGGCACACATACTGCGGTGTAATATAATTAACCACAAAACAAATTTACATGATATGTAAATTGAAATAAGTACCTACCTAGTAATCAATTGACTGCACTATTTACTCACAAAAGCAGAGGATATGAATTTCCTGTCCATTGAATTGTATTTTTATATTAATCTATTGTGGTATTGCGGATACTAGGTGCGTACAATGTAGTGGACAGTTATTATAATTTTCTTACTACCCGCTTAGCTACCCGCCCCGACTTCACACGGGTGTAGGTGCATGTATTATACACATAAACCTTCCTCTTGGGTCACTCTATCTATTGCTAAAAATTGTATTAAAATCCGTTTCATAGTTTATAAGAACAGACAGTGGAAACGATTTCATTTTATACTATGTAAAGATTAGCTTATTTTTTTATGAATACCTACCTACCTTACATTTTACGTTAGTGAGTAAACAGCCCTTGCCGATTTTTTTTTATCTTATCAGAATAGGAAACAAAATGGTGGACCACCAATGTATATTGTAACCGGACATCACGGTATCACGACGCCTGCGATAGCACTCATGCGTTGCTATTCCGAAGGACTAATATTGTACCTCTTAACTTGTAATTTAGCTACCTTATCTCACACTTCAAATCTCTGATATGACGGCTGATAGGGGTCAATGGAAGAAGACGACAAGTCAAGAGAAAAGTCTGTAATAGACCTACATGAATAAAGATATTTTGATTTTCGATTTTAATATTATCTCGGTTTCGTCGGCAGGTTTTTTTAAAATAACGGTGCGTGCTTAAAGAATAACAAAAGAATAGCCAGAACAATAGTACTTACAAGTGGGGCATGACTCCTATACCTTTAATCATTATTAACAACATTTAGTTAGCGTACCAGTTTAACCTGTGCGTCACCTTGGTACGGTGTTATAAAGTACAAACAATATTCATGAGTATATTTGTATTTGTCTGAGTGATTTTCTATGTCTAATTGGATTGACAAACAGACGGCCCACGTGATCTGACATCAACAGCGTCGCATCATGTGATGATATGTATGTGGTACCTCTACCATTCCTGAGGACCATAGGTCGTTATATACCCTGTAATTTTACTGCCAAATCTCCACAATTCTCTCTCATAGCTGTGTGGCAGGTTTTGACATTGTCTCCGCTATCAGCCCCTAAGCAACTACATATTGTAAAGTGTAAAGTGGTGGTATACCTATATTTTATAATTATAATAACCCTAAACAATAAACACGTGTGTCACAATGTTACTTACCATACTTCTCCGAAACGGCTTTGAAATTTTTATGAAATTCTATATGCGTCATCAGTAGATCTGAGAATCGGTACTATACCTATATTATTCGTACACCTAAGTGATAAGAATTGATGATAAGAAACTAATTTTATTTTTCTATTTTTTGGACAATGTTTTTATTTTTTATAATGGGGTATTACAACACAACAACCCTAAATTTTCACCCTTCTATCACTAACCCAAATTTTTTAATAGCGATTTCAGTATATATAGTAAAACAACGTTTGCAGGGACAGCTAGTATAAATATAATTTGTTATAATTGTAATGTAAGCCAGTGTACACAAACCTTTATATTTCATCCGCCGGCCATTTTGCTTCGCTAATGGTCATTTTAATTAAATATGAGAATGTGATAAGAACCGGTTCACATTATCATACATATGAATCACATTTTGTACAAACGTAAATAAATATAATACATATATAACGATACATTTATTTAAAGTAGTCACGTCATCGTGTTTACTAAAGTTTCTGAGGATTTCTCTTTTATTCCAGTTATTGATAATGGTTTAGTATTAGTTATTGATTTTTTTTAATTTATGATTATGGAATGGTGCATCGGTGCCTTAACGGTTTACGCTGGTGGGGCCACTAGTGGAGGATGATAAGATGAACATGACTTCCGGTGA